TTCTGTATCTAAAGACGAGAGGAGAGAACAGAACAACAGTGTGAAGGATGATTTGGGTAGAAACCAGGCTTAGGTAGAAGGCGATCCTGGAAGAAAGACCCTGTAGAGCAGGAATGGGCAAATCTGTTTGGCTCTTTACATTTATATATCTATTATTATTATTATTATTATTATTATTATTATTATGCTCCTCCTCTTCCTCCTCCTGAACATTCATCCGTGTTTTCTCCTAGTACACATTTTTGCATGCAATTTCCCCTAATATAATGTGGGTTTTATGTTATTTTCATCAATATATGCATTTATATGAACACTTTATGATATTATATGCATTTTTGTAGATATAATTTGGCCGGAGAACTGCATTGCAAAATTCAGAGAAGTGCTAAATTCGAAGGAGGGCTGTGTTACAGTTTGCCTATTGCTTTGGAAAGTGCAAACCAGGCAAGTCCACCTTTAAATTCGAACTGAATCCAATTTCTCATGGCTTCCCTCCTGGAGAACCTCTGTCAATAAGAACTGGTACGTTGTGCTTGATGTGCAAATAGTCTGACCTGATATAGGCAGACTTCCTGGGTTCCTAATAGGCCCAGCCAGTATTTGTCATGAATGTGAACTAACTCGGAACCTCTAGGTTACACCTAGAATTTCATGCAGCATTCGGGGCCTTGGCAGATGCATAGAAGTCAGTGTTGAAAGAGTTCCATGAAAATGGCATGTATGAACTTCTATTGCCTTGAAATGCACAACAATACTGTTTCCAGGCAATTTAACTCAAAGCAACTGGTACAGACTGAAAAGACAGCACTGCAGCAAATGTGATAAATAACTGTCCACTTTAAAAAAAAAAGTTTGCAAACTACTGCCATATGTACTAGCAATAGCTAAATTCCTATGATCAAAACCAGAGATTTTAAACATATCTCTTTCCGCTTCCACCCTGCCTGGATTTTAGTTGACCATTCTTTCGTTGGCAGTTAAAGTGTAGTAGGATTTGTTTTCATAATCTCTAATGCAGATTCAGATTCCCGCGGGGAGCCTTGAAATGTTCTCTGAATTTGTCCCTCTTCAACCAGCCCTGCTTGCGTAATAAAATGGCTTTGTGTGTTAAGAGGTAACTAAATCCATGTTACTGCAGATGAGTAACAAATCCCCGAGGGCCACAAATCTAGGTATAGTTAAAATATTTTTTGAATGTCAAGTGATTTTTTGTGTGAATGCATGTAACACTATCCGCCATACTTTCCTGGTTAGAGATCCATGAAGTGGATATATATTGCTGAAATTTTAATTGCATGGCTCCACATACAATATTTGACTTGTTGCCTCTGTATCTCAGGAGTTCATAGTGACATACTGTAACCCTGGGCCATAGGTTCAAGCTTGCATGTTATAAGGCTGGGATGGGGAACCTCTGCTTCTCCAGATGTTGCTGGACTCCAGCTCCCATCAGTCCCAGCCAGCATAGCCAATGGCCAGAGATGATGGGAGTTGTAGTCCAGCGACATAGTTTCACTCTCCCCTGTTTTAAGAACTGGGCCATTGAATATTATTTTGTTCAGTGAAAGACTAAATAAATGACCATACTACAGATCAAACTGATTTTGCCATGGTTCTGCTATCCAGGAATGTCTGAGAGCTGTAATTCCGTGAGACAGAACTCAGAGAGTTCTTAGGGCTTCACCAAATCACAATCATCAGATTGTATTATTTAATTTTTTTGTAAAATCCACAGCAACCAAAGGGCCATTAAACTTACACAGGTTTGTAGTACAAAAAGCACAACAAGAAAAGTGTGTTTGTGAGAGCACAAACTTAATATTTAGTGTATAAAAGAAAATCATGTCGGAAACTGACCATCTGAAATGCAGCCCCCAGTAGCAGAAAAACAAGCATGCTAGAGCAAAGATGGGAATCATCTGTGACCCTCTGGATTGTTGGTGGAAATTCCTGGATACCAAGATCCAAGTTTAGGGGAAGAACTCTTTGGTGACAGAATCCCAGCAGAGATTTAAAGTCACAGAATATGCAGCAAAGTAAAGTGTAGGCATATAGGCTGTTAGACTTTTAAAATATGCCCTTTAAAGTGACTTCCAAAATCCCCTCTTAAAAACTCTCCAGAGGTCAGATTCACGTGCTTCAGAAAATGTTCCACAGGTAGTAAAATTTAGCTTTCACAAACTGGTGAAAAGTTACTAAATTATTGCTTTAGGTCCTCAAGAGTGGCTGGTGAGAGCCATGTGGTCTGAGCTGTAGCAACCAGCTCAAACCTCTTCACATGTTGAGCTTCTTGGGAGGACGGGGGAGAAACAAAGACTTGATTACAACAACAACAACTATTTATTTATACCCCGCCCATCTGGCTGGGTTTCCCCAGCCACTCTGGGTGGCTTCCGACAAAGATTAAAAATATATTAAAACATCAGTCATTAAAAACTTCCCTAAACAGGGAAGTTCCTAGTTTTTCCCAAAGTGAAGGGAAATAGACATTGCTAAGCCTGGCAGAACAGCTTACTCTATGGCATTAACCCCTTCCTGCATTAATTGGACTTAGGCATGTTGATCATATGAGACTAGTTATCCTACCCAGATGTCCCATCAGCTTGAGATAGCATAGCCAACAATCAAGGATGATGGGCACTACAGTCCAACAGCACCTGGAGGTCCACATGTTTCCCCTCTCTGTTCTAGAGCTGCATGAGAAACTAAGCCACATGGTTATCCCCATGGCAATTGAGACAATGTGTTTATGCATATTATACTCTGAATGATTAAACCATCTTTGAAGGATTTTACTTCTTTTTGGAAATTCGGACCCTACTGAAAAGAAGAGAAGAGAAGAAAAAAAGTGAACCATCATTGATCTGCTGGGGCTGTAGATCTTGCTGCCACAGTCAATACGCGTCATCAGCAAAGGGTTGAAATTTAATGAAGAGCAAATTGGCTTGCTTTAAAGAAGCAGAAATTGATCGGCTTTGTGACCCAAAGCAAAACACAATAAGGCTTCAGTAGTCTCCAAGTCCTGTAATCATCGTCGTCCTAAGAATCAATGAGTAATAGGCCTCCTTTTGTGTTTTGAAATGTGTGATTCATATTATTGAAGCTGAATTCATTTTAATAGGGCGTCCCTCAATCAAAGACAGAAAATAACACAGCAATCTTGGTCTGTAATGAATTCTGTCCAGCAAGCTGATGAGAATTTCAGCCTGATTTATAGCTGTCATCAGAGCTGATAAAGGTCACCACTGAATCTCATTTTTTTTAAAAAATGTTTCCAATAAGAGACCACATTTCAGACTGGTTCCAATACCATCAGTTATTTGAAAAATTTAAATCTGACAAACAAAAGGGGTTCTCAACAGAAATTTCCCGATTCGAATCTGATCTTCTAAATTCTAAAAGAAAAACTCTTTCCAAAACTTACCGACTCCCCCTTGACTGGACAGTCAAGGAGGAGGAGGTAACAGTGGCAATGGTGAAGTGGTCCCAGGATTTTGGCCACTCAGTAAGCATGGCCCAATGGGAAAATTTATGGAAGATCAATTGGAAATTCACAAATTGTTACACGATTAGAGAGAACTTTCAAAAAATGCAACATCGATGGTATCTAACACCATGGAAGCTTTCAAAAATGTATAAAAAATGTATCAAGTAATTGTTGGAGATGCGGAGACTCAGGAACATTCTACCATATGTGGTGGATATGTAGGAAGGGGGCATTTTGGACGGCAGGTGGATCTGCCACAGGTGAGAAGCCCTTATGTGCAGGCAGAACTCTAGCTGCAGCACTTCAGATCTTGCCCATTGATGGGTTGTGGTTTTCCTAAGAACATATGAGCCTGCTGGATCAGGCCAATGGCTCACCTAGTCCGCCATCCCATTCTCACAGGGTCCTGCGGAAAACCTGCAAGCAGGATTTGAGCACAAGAGCACTCCCCCCTCCTGTGGTTTCCAGCAACTGGTATTCAGAAGCACTGCTGCCTCCAACTGTGGTGGCAGAACATCGCCAATGTGACTAGCAGCCATCAACAGCCCTCTCCTCCATGAATTTGTCTTATTCCTCTTTTAAAGTCTCTGGTGGCAATGAACTCCACAGTTTAACTATGTCTTGCATAATGCACTCAGTGAATGCTGACAGTCTCAAATGGATATCAATATCAAACAACGTATATTCTATACCTTATATCACATTTTCTGGAAATTGCAGACATTTATATATTGACAGTCGCCAGATTTTGTGTGTGTGTGTATTTTTATTACTTATTAAATTTGTATGCCTCCCTTCATCTGTAGATCTCAGGGTGGTTCACAACATAAAAATACAAGATAAAAACACAAAATGAATAATAATAACAATAATACCCACAAACTGATAAATCCCTTCCCCCACCCCAGCCCTATATACCAATAGTAAAAGTGTACATAAGAAATGTAGGTCAATAAATATGCCAGCAGCTTGGGCCCCTCTTTAGGGATGTTGCTATGGGGGCTGTCATGCTGAGCTCCTGCACTTCTAAAACTTGCATTACGCAGCATTTGAATTACATTTCCCAGCTGTCTGGAAAGGCCCGTTCTCTGGCCACAGAGAGGCAGTCTGCTGACACATATCCCAAGGAAGTGTGGTCAACGCATTGCCGCAAGTCTACTCCGCTCCAGCATGCAGCTCATGTGCTGCTCTATGGATCTGGATGATGGAAGTATCCCATGGCTGTTACACAAGAGCTCAGTTCTAGCAGACTGGGTTCCAAAATGAATTAACTACTGATCCCACAGCACTAAAACACGGTCAGGACCATAAAAAACCTGCAAGTGTTACTTATGATAAAGTACAATGGTACATTGGGGCCTGTAGCATCTAAAATTAGGCTAGGGGCTGCATGTGACCCACGGGCCACCAACTGCCTGTCAGTGAGCTAAAACACAGCTGAGCTGCACAATACCCCATTGGCTAAACAATGCATGTATTTGGTCCACAGGCAAATTGAATGGTGACCCAAGGAAGGGGCATAGCTCAATGGTAGAGCAATTCTGCAATTGCCTGCAGAAAGTCCCAGGTTCACTCCCTGGTGTTCTCCATTAGGGCTGGGAAATATCCCTTGTCTGAAACCGTGGAAAGTCAACAACACTGAGTTAGAGAGGCCAAGGGTGTGATTTAGTATCTGAGAGCTTCCTGTGTTTGATTAAACCAGCGTTTTACGGCCTCTCTCTTCAACATCTCCCATCTCTTCCTATGAAATGAGAAATGGAAGCTAACGTTCAGGTGGCAAAAGGGACCCAAGGAAGAAAGATGCCAGATTGTCAGCGGCACATCCAAATCGTCGCCCCATCACAGCCGTATGTTCCGCGTGGCTCTTGCCTAGCAATTTGTATTCACAACATACCATTTTTCCACATAAAAGGCATTTGGCTGAGGTGTTGCAGCAGGCTGCAACGGCTGAATGTGTAGCAGGTTTACAGATTAAGAACAAATAAGCCATTTGCCGGCAAGTTCTTGAAGTCCCATATGTAATATGAACGGTGAAGGAAATGGAGGCAATTCTAGTTAAGAGAGGCCGTTGTTGAGTGATAGAAGAGAAGCCCACGACAGGTGGATGAGAACAATCTGGTTTTATTTCCAAATTGCACCAGCAATTAATGCCAGGCAAAAGCCCTAAACTGAGCTAGCACAACTCCCACTGACAGACGCTGTTGGAATGGCTTAGCAAGAGCAAGTGCTGGTGGAGACCCAAGAAAATGTGAGCCAAAAGCATCATAGTGGACAGAGAAAGACCAAACACATGCTGGTGCCCAAGGCAGAAAATGCAACTGATACCCCCATGGTGGGGGAAAAATATATAATAAGGAACTAAAGAATGAGAATGATGGTGGTTTACAGAACACTACTGGTGTTCATTGCACTTGAAGAGGAGAAGTACGGTATAAGAGTTCAAGCCCCTGACCTGAAGAGCTTACAATCTAAAATTCTTCACAGGGGAAGCAATAGAGCAGGAAGGAAAAGAAATGGGAGGCAGGGGTAAACGAGGAAGCAGTGTGCAATTGTTTTGGTTGCACATGCTTGGGCTTAGTTGCAGACTGAGCTGCAGAAGGATATGCAAACTATGGAGTTATGCCAATGGCTTCATGATCAAGGTGGGTTTTGAGGAGGGATTTGAAGGAAGTAAGAGAGGTAGCAGCAGGGAATGAGTGCCAAGAATATGGGGGTAGCAAGGAAGGGAAGGTGGAGTGCTTTGAGGGAGCAGACTAATGGTGGGACAAGGTCTGGTAGCAAAAGGACAAAACTACAGCAGAGGAGGGAATTCTCAGATAGATGTACACAGAAAAGAATAGATGAATCAAAGGTGAGTACACTTTAGTGTAAGAAGGTGGGATAGGAATTGCTGGGAGTAAGTAAGTAAGGACAAAGCAATACAGTCAAGTTTAGATAATCATGCTAGGTTCAGTTTGCATGCAAAGCTTTCCACCTCCTTATTTATAAAACTGGAGATTTGATTCTGCCTTAGGCCATGTCTATACCGATGCTTTCTCCAGACAAACCTGCCCTGTGGCAAGGTAGCACACAGGGCAAAGGGCTCCCAGAACTGCCAAGGGAAAGCTGCACACAATAAATAATTCCTCTCCTTTGTGGTTTCCATTCTGTTCCAGTGTCCAAGCATACTTTGGCTTCCCTGCACCAAAAGTAGGATGGCAGCTTTCCCCAGAGGGATGGCGCTTCTGTCCATTCAAGAGCTTTGAGCACAGCAACAAGCATAGTTCCACAGGTATAAGCTTCTTCCAATAAATGCCGTCTGCTACAGAACTCCCAAATAATCTCTCCTGCCCAGAAGATGGTCACTATTCAGAGTCTTACTTCTCAATGCCAGTGCTGCAGAGGAATTAGCTGCAAAGAAAGACAAGAATGGATCCTGTAGCTTTAACATTAAGCCAGTATTTTAGTAAGGTAAAGGTAAACAGGGACGTGGGTGATGCTGTGGTTTAAACAACTAAGCCTCCTGGTTTAGAATGTTGGCGGTTCGGATCCCCGCAACGGGGTGAGCTCCCATTGCATCTGTCCCAGTTTCTGCCAACCTAGCAGTTCGAAAGCATGCCAGTGCAAGTAGATAAATAGGTACAGCTGCGGCGGGAAGGCAAACGGCATTTCCGTGCATTCCAGCACTCGTCACGGTCCTCCATGCATCAGTAGCAGTTTAATCATGCTGGCCACATGATAAAAAAAAAACTGTCTGTGGGCAAACACCGGTTCCCTCCGCCTGAAAAGCGAGATGAGTGCCACACCCCATAGCTGTCTTTGCCTTTGCCTTACCTTTACCTATTCTAGTAGAGGGATTTTCAACAGGGTCCACTTGCTAAGTCATAATGCAGCAAAGGTAGGAAACAGCACATTTTGCAGAAAGAGGAGTCTCATGCATAATAGCAATCTAGCTAGGAAGGGAGCAGATTGCAATGTATGTCTGGTGTGTGGCAATTTTACAGAGTTTCCTTTCTGGCCTCAATGGGGTATTGCTTGCATATAAAAAGCCCCTGGTCTTGCGCACTGTGCCTGTACCTGGGGCTGGTGGGGAGGGAGGCTTGTGCAGCCCAGACTACTGCAATGCAGAAATAAACTCCAGTTTCTTACAGTTCCATTTTATTAGTATGAGGAAGCAGATTGTAAGAGGGAACAGCTTGCTTGTAACATTAGGAACAGAGCCCTTAATTCCTGGAGACACGTGAAATCTTTTTTTATCTCACTGACATTATGGGCCATTATCTTTTAGTGTTTCTTCTTTTCCCTTTGGTAGAGCTTCTTCTCCTCCTCCTTCCTTTTTAATATGGATGGGGGTGCGGACACCCCTCTAAACAGCTGATTTGCTGTAATTTACCTAAACAATGAACATCTCATCACATTGGTACATTAAGCCAGCATAACATGGCTTAGTGTGCTTTATTATGCAAGAAGTAGCTTTAATCACTCTTCACTTTAATGCAGCACGGACCCTTGCATTTAGTATGTTTTGTGCCAAGAACATTCAAGAGCAACACACATTTACGCCAAACAGGCCTTTCCAGAACCAAGCTCTTTCTCCCACCATGAAGAAATAAAGGATGCAAATTCACCAGGACGGCAAGAAGACTGAGTGCGCTTCAGAAACAACAACAACAATCTAGGATATAATTTGATAGTGATTATAATACGGTAGGTCTGAGTGCAATAGCATCTTTAGAACTAGAACTAATTCTGTTAATAGATAGGGAGATTTCAAAGGCTATGGCCTCTTGAAATGTTACCAAAAAGCAGCTGGAGGCAGTGCATAAACCCTTGACAATGTATATTGCTCTGCCTTAGTTTTAAATGGACACTTCCTTAGTGTGGCGAGTTACATATTACCAAAAAGGAGAATTTGTGTCACCAAAGAAGAAGCAAGAAGAGGGCACGTGGTAATGCCATAAGTTTAGTAAAGGTGTGTTTGTTCCCTTTCCACAGGCTTTGCCTGGTGGGTACCTATCCCTGGCTCATCAATGGATTTTTTTGGGTTGGGAGGTTTCTTTGTAGTTCACACACTACTCTGGTTTGCTGCTGAGATTATTGCCCAGCAACCTGCCTTGCAAGCCCCCCCCCCCCAATTCTTCTCTGTCCTTTCACCCTTCTCCCTTTCTCCAGTAAGAAGCTTCTAGTTCAATTTTCCCAGTCCCTCATGCACCTGTGCGTCTCACCAATTGATTGATTAAATGTTGCAATCCTAAAATCAACCCCTCTTATGATTCCTTATCTTGTTCCTTGTGCTCTTCAGAGCCAGCCAAAGAAGAATTAAGAAGCTATTAAGAGGAAGGTGGATTGGCTAATATCAAAGCTTTCAGGGAGCAAAGACAACAGCATCCTAGCCTAACATTTCTACCATCAACTTGCTCCTCTCTATGTCACCTCCATTACGCACTTGCCAGTTATTGACATCTCCCTGTTATCTCTTCTTCATCTATTGTAGAATGTAAGCTGCCTGTGGAAGAACCATGTCGCCTCTTTTCTGTACAGCACACTCTTGGAAGTTGGAGCTATAGAAAATGTTAAATGGCACTCTTGGGATGTCAATGCCATGCAGCTCATGACCCAGAATTTGTGCACTTCTGACTTCTCTTCCACTCCCTACAAGGCTAAAGTAATAAAACGAAATAAATTGTAAAGGGTGGAATTCAATGTTGTGCTGTGATTAACATTCTTTCTGCACATTCCAGCTTCCCTCTCTTCACCCTGAGTGCTGTTCTGGGGGTTCGCTTGAACCCCACCCCCCGGAACTAATTTTGGGGAGCACGAAGAAGGAAGATGGAAGGGGGAAGCCTCATTGTGCAAGCAGGAGTCCTTGTTAGGTGAACCGTCTGTTTAAAATCTTCTTCTTCTTCTTTGGCGATCACTTGTAGCCGAATAAGTTTGTCTTCCATAAACATGGTTTTAACAATGAGCCTGTAAGTGACTGTGGAGGCCAATTCTGGATCCACACGTCCTTCCACAGTGGGGACATTGGTTTCCGGGTGGGAGTTGATCACGGTGTGGATTTGCCAGGCGTGCCTTCTTCTTAGCACATTTCTCCCTTGCGTCCTGAGTTCGAGCGTCTTCAAAGCCAACGGGACCTTTGGTAAAGGCTGTTCTCCAACTGAACCACTCGCAGGCCAGTGTTTCCCAGTTGTCAGTGTTTGTACTACATTTTTTTAGATTTGCCTTGAGACAGTCTTTAAACCTCCTTTGTTGACCACCAGCATTATGCTTTCCATTTTTAAATTTGGAATAGAGTAGTTGCTTTGGAAGACGATGATCAGGCATTCACACAACATGACCAGTCCAATGAAGTTGATTTTGAAGAATCATTGATTCAACACTGATGGTCTTTGCTTCTTCCAGTACACTGATATTAGTTTGCCTGTCTTCCCAAGTGATGTATAAACATTTTTGGAGACACCGTTGATGGAATCTTTCGAGGAGTTGGATATGGCATTTATAAGTGGTCCATGTTTCATAAGCATATAGTAAGGTTGGTAGTACAATAGCTTTGTAAACAAGCATTTTGGTTTCCCTGTGAATATCCTGGTCCTAAAACACTCTGCACTTC